CAAATTGTTAACATCTTGTTTCAAACTTGTTACAACAAACTGGGAAGAAGCAGTGTGAAGACAACTTGTTGACAGCTTGTGAACAGACTTGTAACAACTTGTTTGCAGACTTGTTACAAGCTGTGCATTTTTACATGTGCAGGTGAACTCAGCGTATACATGTAAAAATGCACAAGTTGTAACAAACCTGCAGCAGATTTGTAGCAATGCTGCTACAACAACTTGTCAACAGGATGTGTTCGCACTGCTTGTTCCCAGTTTGTTGACAAGTTGTCAACACCTTGTTGACAACTTGCTACAAGGTTGTCAAACTCAACAAACTTGTTACAAGTTGTTCCAACAGCAATTAAACAATTTGTCAACAAGTTGTGAGTGACAAGCTTGTAGCAACTTGATAAATTAACAGAATTTTTACAACTTGTTGACAAGCTTGCTACAAGTCTGTTGCGAACACATCTTGTTAACAAGTTGTGCGATTTTTACGTGTGTAGATCTCAGCATTTTCTTTACAGGTGGAGTTTCATCTGATTCCGTTTCTTCATCAATAATATGGAGACCAGAGGATGAAAGTACACCTTCTTTGTCCATATTCTGACAACGCTCTTGAGCTCGGTTGATCATACTGCTATTTGTGAATGCCGAGTAAGTGAGTAACAACTTCGATGATATAAAGAGAAATTTGCATCGATATTTTCGACCGTGCTACTTCCATGCTGTCGCTAACAAACCGCAAACTTCTTTGAGCAACATTGCGTTCTTCCCCGTCTAGCGTTAGCCAAATTCTACGACAATCTAAAAAATTTTGATACGAAACCACACTAAAACTTGTAAGTGGGCCTTTTTTCCCATCAAAATGAATTAAACGTGAATCAGAAGACGCCATGTTTACAAATGCTAAGCTGGAAACTTCATGTAAGAATGAGCATGAGCCCGCGAAAATCGGCATTTAGAGTGTTTATTACACCAAGTATCCTGAACAAAAATGGCGGCGATCGATTGCGAAAGATGTCGATTTCTTCAATTTTCGAAGAAGAAATACTCGAAAACTGCAGGTTTTGGGAAGTGCAAACAAGCGGATTTGGACTTTGTATAATTTATCCTAATTATTTATCTTCTTTCAAAGTAGTGCCCGAACCCGGGCAACGGAATTCGTTTTCTAAGCGACTTTTCGTGCCACAGAATACGGCCTAGAGTACGGTGACAGGTCAAAGCTACTGTTCACAGATACTGACAGTCTGATGTACGAAATAAAGACTGATGATGTGTATGAGGACTTCAGGAGGATCGGTGAGGAGAAAGACTGCTGGGACAACTCAGACTATCCGAAAGATTCCCCATACTACTCAGCTCACAATAAGAAGGTGATTGGTAAGTTTAAGGATGAAGCTGCGGGAGTACCAGTGATTGAATTCGTCGGGTTAAGGTCGAAGATGTACTCCTACGTAAAGGAAAGTGGTGGAGGTGGAATGACCGCAAAAGGAGTGAAAAAGTATGTGATCAGAAACAAACTCACTCATGAAAACTTCAAGAACGTAATTAAGACAAGAGGTCGGATGAGACATAAGATGAACACAATCAGAAGCATCAAACATAAAATCGGAACTTACAAACTGAAGAAAATCACACTTAGTTGTTTCGATGATAAACGGTACTTACTTGAAGATGGTGTTACAAGTTACGCGTACGGACACCATTTAATAGAAAAATAAATTGTTAAATAATTCTGATAAATAATAGATAAAAAAATGAGGTAAAAAAGACCACTGAAAAAATGGCCTAGAAAAAAAATGGTCCAGAAAAAATGAGCCCGCGTTCTTTGGGGAAAATTTGGGAAACCGCTGACCGGAAGTGGGGTGGGATCGCGGGCCGAAAAAGTGGTCTAGAACCCTCAGTTCCTATACTACTAGTACCACATAACAAAATTAAATTTACACACCGTGAAATGTATTCAAACTCAGATCTTCTTATCTCAATATCCCAAGTTAGTGAATCCAGTATGAGAATATGCCTGAAATTTTAGTGACATTTAATTGATGCAAGTTGCAACTATTACATGATATAAAACAAAAAAATGCGGGACATCACATATAGGAATCGATTGCAGATGTTAAATCTTCTCCCGTTGACATATGACAGAGAAATCAAGGATTTGACATTTTTCTTTAAGTTGCTAAATGGATTTTACGATTTAAATATTTCTAATTTTGTGTCGTTTGTTAGTCATAATCGTACTCGTAACTGTGAAAATCCTTCTCTCGTTCTTAAATTTCCGTCGTGTAAAACAAGTGCTTTCCAGTCGTCCTTCTTTAACCGTATTGTCCCTCTCTGGAATTGTGTGTGTAAAATAGCTTGTCCTGCAGACCTTCGCAGTCTAACTATGTTTAAATCTTTTTTTGTCAAGAACATACGTACAGTTATTAGAAAATAGTTATAATGTAGATATGCCATGTACCTGGTCTTTATGTCGTAGTTGTTTGTGTCATAGGTCTTAATATAACTAATAGTTTCTAAAGTAAACATATGCTTGTTGCTTGAGTATTTCTGTAATTGTTTTCTGATATTCTAGGTATAACGCAGTATTGGCTGTTTTTATTTATAGTATTTTAATTAATCACTTTATTTAAACCGACCACATTTAATATGTTTGTGCTTCAAACAATTGGCATATGTTTATTTTAGTTGTAGTCATCGTAGTTAATCAATTTGTAAAAAGGTAGAGTGCCTCGCATGGGTCTCCGAGTCCTGTTTGCACTTGTGCCGTTTGATATGTCTTGTTTACTGTCCAATAAAGTTTACAATATAATATAATATAATATAAAAGTATGTGGCAACATTTTGTTTTTCAAATATATACAATTTAAACCAATGCTACTTACCATGGTGATATAATAGCAAGAAGCCAGTGGAGACTAAGATATAAAATAAACTTTTTAGTGCTTTATCACTCCAAAATACTGTCCTTTCCCCTTTTAAGTTCAACATATCATTTGGGTGTTACTGTGATTGTGTACATATATATTGTTAATATATCATTTGGGTGTTACTGAGATTGTGTGCATATATCTTGTATTGCCTTCTATTGATAGGTACAAATATATAATCCTTGTCAAACAACTCCACTTTGAAATACTTTTGAGCAGCTTTAATTCTTTCCAGTCTAAAACGATCAATGGGCATAGCTGAATTTACCCCTTCGAGTTTCTGCAGAAGAAGGGGACTATTTGGCAAAATACATATTTGCCGTAGTGCTTGTGAATTTAGAAAGCTAATATGAGAAAAAAAGCCTCTTATACTTGGGAAATGTAAACCTGGTATTTTTATTGTTAAAGGAAACTTTGTATCAATACGATGAAGAGGTATAAGCAGTTACAATCTTCGAATATTGCTGCTTGACAGATGCTGCAGAGCGTCCATGTTGGAAATGACCAATTCAGGCGTGCGATCAGTTGATAATATACTTAGCCCGAAATGCATCATGGTATAACATGTCAATCATCCTTTCACTACCACTACCTTGGAGCCATAATCGAACAAAATGTGTATTTTATGCCAGATAATAATACACATACAGATAATCAAACTATGTGAATTACTCGGCATATGAACAATTGGTTTTCATATTTGGAAAGATCAGGCTAAAATAGCTAAAGCTATTGAATGACATACTTTTCATACCAAGTGGAGAAAAAATAAGCATGTACGAGGCTGATTAAAAATGTTAGTCAAAATCGCATATTTTCACCTCTGTGCCTAATTAAAACAATGCATAACAAAAGAAAAAGCAATTAATCACAAATGTGTCTTAATAAAAATAAAGGAAAACTCGCCATATGTTGGTGGTACCGATACTTCTCTAACAACTTCATTACCCAATTTGAACTTGGAATATGTGACATCGACATATAGCTTTTCCATCCTTTGGTGTTTGACTTTCCCGATTAATGTTTTCATTGAAATACAAGCTTGCCAGGATATGTCTGTGGAACAAATTATAGAACATGTGCACAGAGTACCATAAGCCAGTGGCGTAGCCAGCCAAGCCGGCCAAGGGGGGGACAAGAATCAGGTGGGGCCAACTTGCACAAGATCATGAAAACTGAATGAGGCAACTGAGCAACATATTCATAGCCATAGGGGGGGGGGGGGTATTAAATTTTGCTTTGTTTAGTTATTTACCACACATTGTTTTACCCCTGGGAAAGCTCAAAAAAGTCTTGGAACAAAGTTGATGTTTTAATCAGTTTGACTCCAAATTTTCCCAGAGGGGGCAATAATTTGGTTGGAGGGCACTACATCAGGCTACATCACTGGAATAAGCATAATTAGTTTAACCCATTGACGGCCAGTGCCCTACCACTGACGAGAAAAATCATCTGGCATTAGACAGAGTAAATACTATTGCCCACTAATGGGTTAAACATAACATCAATGGTACTGTAACTGCCTGGTGTGACTTTGAATCGACCATCTCCACTCCAGACACTATCTTTGACAGACTTCAATGACTGTATCAGCATAGCTTGGTATGACTCCCAGTATTGGAGGATGCTTGGCAAAAGAAGGTCCTCGGTAAGTAGGCTGCCAAACCAAAATGCCGCAAGACCAGAAGAACCTTGCTGATTGAGGCACCAGCCATCAATGTTGCAAAGCTCAACAAAATGTTTCCAGCTGGATATCTGCCAAGTATAAAAGGTTGGCTTCTCCATCGGAGCATTGTTGCTCGACAGTTACCATGGTACCAGTACCATTCTGCTCCATTCACACTTCTGGTTTGGCTATTAGTAAAACCAAGAACACCGGAACAGCATCATTCCGGAACACGGAACACTAAAAATTCGGAGAAAAAAATACCGGGGGGTGTGAAAGTATTGCTGCAATAATTATTGCATAAAACGTGCCTTTTTAATTTTCTGACTTGGCTGACCGATAGCTACTAATAACGAACAGAAATCCTCACAGAAATCAGTTTCAAAGTAATAAATATTTGCCCGAAAAATAGAAGTCAAACCTAGAATTGTTATTTGTTGAGAATAAATGGACCATCTTTGTTTGTTGTTGAAAACATATCAATCAAAATATTAAAGTAACAAAAGTTGATTGGCTTCCTTGTTTTTGCCGACTTAGCTATGACTTAGCTACTTTTGAAGTGCAAAAGGATATTACATTTTCAATTCTTGTTCGAAGTTTTCAGTTTTGCATCACTTTAATACAGGCAGTTCTTTAGACTTTAATATTGATCCTTTCTCGCACGAAATATTTTATAAGCGGCGATGGATAAAAAACCTTTAGCGTGTGATAATAACCTTTCGCTCAATTATTACTAATAACAAAAATACAAACAAATATAATTATAGGCCTTGTAAGTTGTATATATAAATGATGTTTCAACGCATGCATGTGTGTCTATTTGTCCATGTTTAAACTGTAAATTAAACTGACACTCAGTGAGGGAATTTTGAGTACAAGTAAAAATCCTACGATCCGCATTTTCGCTCGAGTTTTCGCTTGCCCTGAGATTCATTGTTGACCGGCTAGTATAGCATAGCATACCGAGCATACTACATATAAAAAGGTCGCACACGACGCCAGTGTATTTTTTAAGGATTCTTTAGTGGTGAGGCAAAACTGCCAAAGGGCCCATTTTCCTTGCCCTCCTCCCAAGGTAGAATGCGATCACCGAAGGTTTGAGCCAAGTACCACAGCCGCGAGATAAGGGTCCGGGGGCAAGCCCCCAGGATATTTTAAGATTTGGGTCTCTGAAATAGCATTTCTTGCATTCTGAGAACACATTAAACAAAAATCTCAACTTCTCAAAACAAAGTTTTAATGGTGAAATTTGTGATAAATTGCATGCTAAACCGTCAAACACAACATATGCTCACCAACAAATTTGGTTTTTAAACTTCTTTTCAATGTTAAACTCATTTACTCAATACAGCTCATAGGGCCCTGGCTTTGGGGCAATAGGCCATTTTTGTTCTTCAGTGGTGGGGCAGAGGATCCGAAGGCGCCCCGTGGGGCAAATGCCCCACCAGTCGATGGTATTAAGAAATGCCTTGCACAACGCGGTACTACAGGGTGTATAAAAAAACTTGCTCTTAGATTCGCAAAACAGCTATTAGTATCCAGTTTTTTATGTATATAGCTTCTTTGAGAGGAATATGTCATCTTCTGCTGACATGTTTTTTACAGCATGAGCTCCAACTTTTAATTTACAATATGAGTAAATTGTTAAATTTACACTAACCCTAACCCCAACCTAACTATACTATTACTAACCCCTAATCTAACTTGTCTAAACTTGTTTTTTGATCCAATATTGATTATCTTTTGATCGCTAACAAAGCTTTAAAACGGGTATGTACTTGAGTTGATGGTGCTGTCATACTATCGGAAGCAGGCCACTATTACTCGTGAGATTGTCAACTGGAGGTGGCGGTAAAGTACTGACGCATTGTTTCTGTTGAACTTCACAGTTGGAAATGTCAGCATCGAAAACTCTTTGAATATATAGCTGCCTTTCGTCAATGGTCTGAGGTTGACCGTCAGCTTCGTCACTCAACAGATGATTAATGCACTCGACCCTGTTTGTCGTGAATTGCAATGGAGGATAACCTAGTCCAGCTCGAATGCTAACTGGTCGTATCATTGAATTAGCCATTTCATCGGCCTTATACCCAGGAATGCACCTCCTCCCCTTTACTGCCCATTCGTTCTTTCCAGATTTGTTTAATCTGGGCCATCCATAACCAAAATTCCTCGGCGGTTTCACTATCGACAACACCTTCTTCAAATTTGGACCCAATCTGACGTCCAAATAAGTCTGCCATGATATCCTTCCTGTTATATTCGGAAACTCTGATCATTTTGAGATGTCAGTCTATGTTCTGCCTTTCGTGACGGAAACAGCGAAGATGGATAATATTGTCAATTTTTTTTACAAATGCATTAGATAATGCTTCCTCGCCGTCAGTTCCGATAGCCTTGATTGATTTCAACTCTGGTTTAATTTCAAGCAGTTGATTGACAAACCCTTCGTACGTCATTTCCTTTTTCTGGCGGTGAATGTATAAAGGGCCGACCATGGCAGGAGGTTTTCCGCTTCTTCGATCCACAAGATGAAGATTTTGAAACTGAGTAGCAGTTACATGGAACGGACCAAGGTCAAAGGTTGGATCGACTTGTAAAATACTAAATTTGGAAGGATTTGTGCAGAATTTTTTTATATCCAACAACTGTGAGTCCAAAACAAGTAAAGCTGTTGGTTCGGGTGCAGCTGTTACACGTCTTACAAGACGTTTTTGGATTAGCTTTGTCCTCTTTGCATTGCAGGATTAGTGCAAAATATGGATCATTGGCACAAACATTGTCTGATCCCGACATTGTCTGAAAACGTTTTTGCATATTTTATAAATATGCCCTAAAAATTACTTTCTCAATCATTAGGGGGTGTCACACCCCTTCCCCCAAACCCCCGTTTCTAAAAATGTTAATCGTGGCAGTTACCATTTCATGCATGCAGTTTTTTAACTTCAGTATAAGGTTCTGTACGTACAGCTAGTGCATTATTATTTAAAGGCTAATTTGTGTATTAATATTTTGCGAAGTGCATGCATGAATTTTTAATCAGTATAAAGACAATTGTAAGACTATGACTCCTAATGTACTAACATTATATCAGTTGCATTCTCCTCCGTGTTTGTTGAGGATAATCCTTCGCAAAGCAAGAGTTCTTTCACGGACGAATCTGTGTCAATCCGTCGGTACATTTCATCATCAGATTCTAAAGATGGACTGAAAAGAAAAATAAACATGTATATTTGCGGTGATAACAACATGTTTAACCAGAACAATCTTCAAATTAAATCTGTGTTGCTCTGGTAATTAACGTGCATTCATTCATCATTATAATAATTAAGGGATAGTAACACCGTATTGTTGTTTTGATACCGTGGTAAACCGTGGTAATAAACGCCAATAAATTCAATTAAAATTTCACATTGAATTCCTTAAGGTTACAGGACACCCTTTTTGGCGTTTTGCGGAAAATCGCTACTGCGTGCTCAATATCAGTCCGATTTTCATCAAATTTTCACCAAATGTCCTCCAGTGCATGCAAAATATGGTAAAGTTGTAAAATTAACAAACAATAAAATAATGTAAGAATTATTCAGGAAAGTCTTAAATCGCGGTACCGTTGCGCTTTTGAGTTGTGCTCCTGCTGGTTTTAAGTTATATTTATGAAAATATCATTTTTGTACAGTAAAATAGTTGTTCTAAAAAATTGTGTTAGGAAATTTTTGTTTATTTCATCATTCCGCTGATATGGCGATTTCTTTGACGACTGCAATATATTTCTGAATTGTTTGTGTGAATTGCTCCTTATTATTAAAATATCCAAAATTAGAACAAAGCCGAACACAATTTTGAAACTGACGTATTTAGCTATGTCCTGTGAAAATTTGAGAAAAATTGGTGAAAACCCGCAGGAGCACAACTCGTTTGAAAATCAGTAACTACCGTAAAATTTTTCGGGAGAAAATTGAATTTGAATATTACATTTTCAATGTTTTTTTTATTGCAGCGAAATGTATTTTATTAAATAACTCTGCGAGTTTTCAAAATTTTTCGTTCAAACTTGGTCAGATAGTAGAACTAGTCTACTGCTTTCATTGAAACCACTAAAAAAAATTTAGGCAAAATTAACACTCAAAGGTGTTCTGTAACCTTAAGCTTATTTAACACTTCATTTGAGAAGTTATGCCTTAATATCATACCTGTATACTCTAAGTCGCGTTTTTGTTATCATGATTTTAAAACATCATAAATTCCCACAATTAATTCCACTATTTGTCAACTTGAGTTAGTGTGTGGTTGGGTTGATGCATGTCATCATATGTCCACACTTCAAGGCAAAAGTTATTTTGACCGGTTGTTTTGAAAATACATGTTTTTTTCGCTAGCAAGCCTTTTCGCCGGACCCGCACTTATATGCACTTCGCCTATATACTGTATTATATAATTGCTCTTTATAATATCAACAATTTAGAAAATTATAAACATTGACCTTACCTTAGTCTTGGATTATTATTTTGATCCTTTTTCGTCATTGCCTGCTTAGAAGGAATGCCTTTCTGTAAAACAGTATATTCAGGGTTAAAAATACATAATACACTAGCAGTTCATGTACAAAAAATGTACCGACATATATTTGCATATATTCAACATTTCAATTTACCAATTTAGCATTCAATAAAGCCATAATTGTTGTTGTGAACTAACCTGCTTTGTCTTTGGCTTGGCTTTTCTGTATAAAAAAGAGTAAAACCAGTTAAATGAAATAGGCAATAGCTATAATATGTGTATGGTTTGGGCTTCTAATGCAATAGATGAAGCTAGTGCAGCTGTACACTCAGTCACATATCTCACCTTTTCTTGGGAGAAACAGAGATTATAGATTCATCACTACTTAAAGTTATTGTTTCAATTACTTTTCTTCTCTTGCTGGGCAGTTGGTTTACCTAGAAGTATAAGTATAAATACAAATAAAAAAGCTAACCTTTGAACCCTTAATCGATGTTTAATTCAATAACTTTTGTATGTTAGCATTTCGTATGTTTTCTAACATACCTGTTGAGGTGCCTGACTGGATTCTCCTTCCTTGTTTCCATTATTTTCCTTGTTCATTGTTATTCGGCTGGCATGAATTGCGTTCTCAATAATATATATCCGATTGTTTACAGTGAAATTGTTATACCATGACCCGAATTGAGCTTGATTAGTTTCGCATCTCATTCCAATATATTTTTTGAACATGTATTTCGAGGTTTTGCAGTAGATCGCCGGCCAGGCCCATGAATGTAATTGCATGTACATGTATCTTTTATACTTTTAATTTCAGTTTCAAGACAGCATTTGTATCAGCTTTCGATTTCTCATGCTGTATAGCATTGATATAAATTGGGTTTCGCAGATATTTTGAAAAAAAGCGCCAAAAGTTGCACTAGCTATGCAATCGCGCAATTTTCCAATCATGCATGTAATTATACACTAAAAACATAAATACCTGCATTTCGTTGTCATCTGACTCAGAATTTTCGCTCTCTAAAAAGTTATTAAATTTAAATTAATAAACGATTAGGGCTGGCTACATCACAAACTCTGAAATTATTAAAAATATTTTGTATAGCCAAAAGCGACAATCCATTCCAAAAGGGGGGGGGGGGGCGAAGTCGACTAGTGTGCTAATACATACATTACATATATTCAACTCACTCCCCTTTGGGACTTTTCAGTTTCCGATGCATCAAGTATTACGCTCATGTTACTTACTCAGCCTAGCTAGCTGTTTTTATCTTTACAACAATTGTGATAATACTTTCCTAACTGTGTTGATCCTAACCCACCCTGTCAACTTTCCCTGTGGGAGAAAACCCACAACTTTCGGCAGAGCGTTGCATCAGTCCGTAGCGAGAATTGAACCAACAATCTCAGAGGTGAAAGGCGCTTGCTCCGACAACTGCGCCAATAATTTATTATAGATTATATATACCCGTCCCGCAGGATTTCACACCCTTGTATACAGCATTATTTGCAAGATGTGTTACCTTGCCAGAAATCGCTGGGAAACGTCGGTGTTAGTCTTTTTCGCTGGAAAATATCTCTTCATTGAAAAAGAAAAGAGTGCATGATCAACATTCCTATACTTACTGTTGACTGTTTGTCGAGAAACAAAAAATATTGTAAGAAGAAGCTACCTTGCACTTGGGTTATCACTTTTCTGTTTTCCCTTCCAAAACGCTCGACCAGAAGGGAGAACGGGTTTCCCAGGACAGTATTCCTCTTCGTCCCATGACTCGAACGTCAATGAACGTCAAAGCATGTATTTTTAAGTCAAAAAATAAAGCGTTGTTTAGCTTTTTTCTGTATACTGATATAAAAGTCGTGTATAAAGATATAAAAGTTCAAACAAGTTTGTCCTTCGAAACTCTCAACCTTGTCCTTTAATTAAGCGCGGAAAGCGCAATTATAAGAACACATTGCATGTGATTGTCGTATTTAGTCAGAATGACTGATATTTTCATTATGCGTGCGGCTATAATTATCAGATAGCCAGGATTTACGATGGAGAGCGTTCCCGTTGTGCTTTTTTTTGCATCTGGAGAGTTAAGGGTTAAGGAGTTTCGAAGGACAACCTTTTTTGAATTATCTAAATATATGTACGCGAGTGCATGTTTTGGTTCACAAAATGCTAAAGATATCTCGATATCATAAAGATAGAGCTGATATTATATATGTTTACCTCAAAAAAGGTTGCAACAACAGGCCGGTTTGCAGGGGCATCGAAAGCAGGGGGCCGGGCCCACGTTTTTAGTTGGGGGGGGGGTTAATAATAAACCGCAAAGTTAATTGATATTATTTCAGTTACGCGTGTAGACAAAAAATTTGAGATATTTTATGACATTTTGTTACCTTTCGAACTCTGTAAATCTTCTTCTAAAGTGCAGGAAATGGCATTTCAGAGAGTCTGGTTCAAAAATTTTTCAAAGGGGGGGCATGCCCAGGACCCCCTATAATGTCACCGCTTTCAGCGGGCACTAAGTGTGCCCCCCCCCCCCACTTTTAGAGCTGCTCCGACACCCCCTGTCGGTTTCAGTGCGAATGTTTTAAATTGCATCAAAAACGAATATTTAAAATACACTGCGAATGTTTTAAATTGCATCAAAAACGATCGATCTAGTCAGGTTCATTGGCGAAGTAATTTTTAAAAAATATGTTGCATTGTGTAAGTTGAGAAAATCAAGTTTATGCGGTAAATCAAGGGGAATGTATATCAGATAAATATACAGCACGCTTATGATTTTTCTTTGTGTTTTCCTCATAAATTATTGAGTTTTTGAAATATGTTTTTATACACACGATATATTGTAAGGGCCAGACAATTTGACTTTTGGGGGGGGGGGTTTGGAAGATTCAGACTGTGGAAGAATTTTTTTTCGCCCAGGCGAACAAGACAGATACTTTGTTCCTGTAAAAGTGCAGCGTAAGATATTTTTCCCCAATATATTTCGCGGCAGGATATTTCATTTTGCCTCGCATAATAACGGCTTGCAGTAACTTAAGGCTTTCATATAGCTATCGCCATGACTGACGTAGCCGGGATTTTCAGTCAGAGGAGGCTGAGAATTGAATCCTAAGAGGGGCCAAGGAATTTTCACGGACTGTGCTTTATTTTATATGGTTATGTCTTAATGTGCTTTATTTTATATGGTTATGTCTTAATGTTCCCCATGCTAAAGCGTGCAAGTTTACTTACAAAAAATGTATAACTGCACCAAAACCTAATGCCGGTTTTCCCTTTCAAACGTACCGTACCGAAACGTATCAAAAACGTTTTTAAATTTCAAAATTTTGTGAATGTTGATTGGTTAGCACTTCCGTAGTACGCCAAAAAGTTGACTTGCGACAAACTTTTTATTTTGATACGCGAATACACCCAGAAGTGCGTGGATTTATAAACCTCTTTTCAATCTGCACATGCTCACCAGCACGTTTCGGTACGATATGGGCGAAGTGGAAAACCGGCTTAAAACATGCAGGGATAGAGTAGAGTACTCTAAAATGAGGGGAGGGTACAGTATATGAATGACCTGTAACATTGTGGGAAATTTTAAAATTTGAACGTCGGAAATGCTATTTCCTGCGTTTTCAGCCATGGATTCGTCCAGGACAACTTTGCTGTACTAAGCCTAAGGAACACTTATTGTCCCTTATTTTAAACATGGGAAAATCACAAAATGAGCTTTGATTAATATGTAATAATAAAACAAGATTTCAATAATGCGATTTTTAACTGCCCACAGAAACAACAATGTTCCACCAAATATAGCTACAGAGCTTTTCAATCGTTCATACAGATAGCTTGTTGGGGATCGGGTTACATCCTCTTCAGAAATTTTTTAAAATCTAGACTCTAAAATGGTATTTTCGCATTAAAATCATCGTATATACAGTACGTTCAACTTGCATCCTGTGGATGGGCCTTTGAAGCTTTAATAGTTTGGAGCTATGTTATCAAAAAATGCACACAGACTCGACCATCCAAAAATACTTTTTCTTCCATGCATATTAGATATGTATAAATAACTTATAAACTTGTACATATCTTAAGCCCAGATTTTCTCAGGGGGGGTGCAAAGATTTTGTCAGGGAACGCCACTGGCTATTGTATGTTAGAGGCTCCAAAGGCGGTAGAATCCCTGTGATATTCTCCACTGTTCACCCAGTGTTTTTTTAATTAAGCAAATGTGCCTGCTCAAAAATGCAAAATCGTGCAAACGTGTGGACACAATACTGAAGAGCGTCAGTAGATTTACATGTAGGAATTTGGTTTCTGAGCGCTCTCTTTTGCATGATATTTTTTTCTTGATTGTATGCTGCATGATTTTTTTTCTTTCTCCTTGGATTGTACGAATTTTTTTTTCTAAATCATCCAACCCCCCCCCCCCCCCAAAAGCC